TCACACAACAGGAATAAGTGGACATGTCAATTTGAGTACTGAAATTTATTAGATGACAACAAAAGTAATGAATTTACATACTACTAGTATATTAATATATGGCCATTAACATTTTTCCTGATGTTAGATGTGGCCTTGGAAGTTGGAAAATGACAGGAAATTGTAGGTATATATGTAGTAGTGTTCGTCAGAGTAAAAAAGAGCTTCAAATTGATACGTTTTTTTTTTTTTTGGCAACGTCAAATTGATAAGTATATACTCGAGATTTATTGAGGTAATTGAGCTGCAATCTAGGTTACTTGAAAGGCCTTCTGCTTCTGCTTGAATTTGACAATAACTAAAGTTTACAACTTCAAAAATGGGCTGTCCTTTGCTTGGTGGTTGAACTCGACATTCAACTAATATTTAAACTTTAAGATTTGCTCCTCCCCCAACAACTGTTAACCAAATGTGAACATTATATGCATTACAAGCAAACCTCCCAAAAAATAAAAATAAAACCTTAATATAGATATTTTAAAAAAAAAACAGAATAACCAAATATGAACACTGTATGAACTACAAGCAACGAAAGGAAGAAATAAAAATCTAAAAAAAAAAAAAAAAAAAAAAGCTAAAATCATGTGAAAAGAGAAATGGGTAATGCGGCTGATGCATAATGGGTTAGGTAACTTTAGGTGCGTGTGGTATGGTGTGTGGTCATATAAAACAAATTTAGCCATGTTGTTGAACCAAAGTTGGGCTGTGGATGTGGTCATGAGCCATTGGATCTGTGGTTTACACGTGTTTAGTCTATTTAATCAATCCAACTAACTAAAAGTACAAAACTCAGTTTAAAATTTAACTTTTCGAATTATTATATTGAGGTATTGATCGAAGTTGTAGATGTTAAATTTTAATATAAAAAATGTATTTAATATTTAATAAATTAAATAAACCAATTAAACATTTATATGACGATTAAAAGTCCATGAGCAATCTTTATTACGGCCAAAATAGCAAAATTAAAAGACCGTCATTCTTTCACTCTGACGGTCCATTTCTAGATTAGACAGTTTAGTAAATTGAAAATAAAATTCTACTATGTACGCGTTTATACTTTCCATTAAGAGGAGAGGACACATCACCCATGCACTGATGTGTGTGTGTTAACAGAATACTGTACCACTTTCATAATGATGTAATTAAATAATCATTGACCGAAGAAACGCATTAGTTGAAACTTACATGTTAATAACTTGGCAACAATCAATGATTGTCAAACATTATGTCTAAGTTAGAAGACTTGTTACTAATTAATTACAAAACCACACAATTAAATAAGAAGAACAATTTAAATTAGTTAGTTACTTAGTTTTATAACTTTGATTTATCTCAATGACATAATTAGTTGAATAACAAAACAAGGGATAATGGCTATCCACACCCGCCATGAAAGAGACACCATGCAACATGCGACTCAAGATTTGACCTTTTTCTATTTTTCTATTAATTTTGAAGACAACGACATTGTAATCACTTTCATGAAGTTTTATATATATCCGGAAACAAGAATTTGTATAATTCTTTATATGGTGTATTACATTAATCAGCATGTTTTGTCTCGTATAGTATAACCTTCAATATAAACGAGATCCTCTTCTAATTATATACTATTCAAAACAGATCACTTCGAATCTTGTCATTTCAAGACACACGCATACAATAATATGCCTTACGTGAAATGATAATGGATTACCAATTATAAATTATCATTATATTACACTCTTGAGGTTCAAAATTTCAACTCGTAAGTTCGTAACCTTTCTAGTTCAAAACCAATATTCGACAAACGTAAATGATCTATATTAGAACAAGATTCGAACTCAAACCTAATACCGTTACAACCATTTAAGTTTCTTATTACAACTCTTGATGTACATTTGATAATTTCCGCTAACCTAAAGTATTTCTTTTACAAGGATTCGGCGAATAACTGTTTTAAATAATGTGATTGGGATAATTGACGTATAAGTCTAGCCTAAACATTGGAAAAAATGGGAGCCAAATTTGAAGTTTTTTTGTCCTTTCACAGAAACTACAAATCTACTGGTTCGTGGTTAAGTTAGTTACGTAACGTACCATCATTTTCTTTAGATTGTTTGTCAGTTTTGTCAGAGTTTTGTAGATAAACATCGTAATTCATTCCTTATCGAATAGTATAAGATTGGTGTTTGATTATGACATCGAGAATTGAATATATATATATATATATATTCCCCCATTATTTATCTATATATAGACATGGACACTTGGGTCGTCCATTGATATAATATAATATATAAAAAAAGAGTAAGGGGGGACCCTCTTGTAACCACTAGGACGAGCACAATTGCGTGACGTGGCTAACTAATCTACTTGGTGGGATATTGAATGAAAGACAAATATCCGTATGAGTCTATGAGATAATAGTGAAGATCATCAGAATGCTTGAAAGGTTTAAAAGGCTTATTACTCACATAAACTTGGAGTTGGAGGTTTGGCTTTTGTGGGTCCCATGTTTAATCTTAATTGTATTTACCATCGTACAGATTTTAATTTTCATATAAATATGTTCTTTGTGCTAGTCATCACATCGTTGTTGAGAGTTATCTGATTAGTAACGTTGTACGATAGCAAAATTGTAGAAAAAAAAACTAAAATGTTGTTTGAACATATTTTGTAGATTTTGAAAATGTACGATTATTATTTAATTTTCATGAACACACCGGTGACGAGTTTCCATACCGCCATCTCAATTATCATAAACCAACAAAAGAGTCAACCAATTCATATTATTAATTTCATTTAGCTATGTGCATGAAAATTCTGACATGCATAATTCACATTATTAGTCTTACTATAATCGAATAGCAGGATGTAACTTAGTTTTCAAGCCACCCGTTTGTTAACAACTACAGAATTTATTTCTTTATTCTTTTAAATAACTCCAATTTTTGTTATAAGATACATAAAATATCAAATGACCGGTTTTAAATTAGAAAACAACGAGAAATAATTAGGTAGTACATCATAGTTAGAAAAAGTTTGAAATAGTCACTGAAACAAGAACAGAAACTGAAACCGGAACCAAAATCAAATCCAAACTCGAATATAAAATAGTGAAGCAGTTTATAAGAGGTTTTAGTCTTCTAGATATTATGTATCGAGGTATGGTATTTAGAGACGCATGTTTTTCTAGTTTCTACAGACCAAGTCCCGTGGAAGGTAGAGCTTTAACTACGTCATGAATGCTGCAAATTGAAACCAAAGATATGCTCATCGCATTACCACAATCGTACACTATGAAGAAAAGAAACATTTCAACATCGCTAATATATTAAAAGAGAAAACACTATAAAATAAACCTTTGTCTCATGTGTTATTAACAGAAATGCCATGCTGATGTGTCAACACCAGGTTCACTTTCAAGGTTAGTTTTAATTAAGACAAACATTACTAGACTAATTACATGTTATGCCATTCATATTTGGTTAGAGAATGAAATATATATGATTAATTTAGTCAGAAAAATAATTATTAATGAAAATTATTTTCTTTCAGTTTCCTTATTTGGTAATGACGAAAATTTATTTATTAGTCAATCAATCAGTAAAATATGGAAAGTTTTATTCAATTGTATTATATTAATTGTTTAAAAATTAATTTATTCATCTATCATTTTTGTTTAGCTTTACTTTCAAGAATAAATTATATCATCACATCAAAATATTTAAAAAAAGAAAATTAGTTTTTTTTACATATGCTATGGTTTGAATTTTTAAAAATGAAGCAAATCTCTAAAAATGTTAAATGTCCCACATGATTATATTTTGGGATAATAGTTCAAAAATCTATTATAAAATAGGATCCAAATAATGATCAACCATAATCACAAATAGGAAAGAAAAATTTACCATGTTTGGAAATCTTTAAAATTTATTTTATTCGATTTAATTTGATTCTTTAATTGAATTAAATAATTAAATCGTATAATAAATAAATAATTTTTAATATTATTTGGTTTATAAAATTGATAAACATAATAAATTCTAATCAAAATTAAAATCATATAAGTTAAATTATTTTAGTTATTTAAAATTGATAAAAACATAAAATATATATGCCATTTTATATTTATCAAAATATAAAATTATTTTAAATGTATTAAAATTTAATATATATGTGGGTTCGGAAAGGGAGAAACTGTTGTTAAAGCAAATGTTAGATTACCACACTGTAAACGATGACAAAAATCAAACCAGGCTAATAAAATATGCATCACTCAAAATTTCGTCTAATATAAATTGACATTTTTTTAATTGTCTAACACTCTATGTTCCTAAAATTGTATGTAAATAGACATCTTTTAATAAAATCAAATTGAGAAAATATCATCCCGTGCAAGGCGCGGGTCAAACTCTAGTATTAAAGTATATCCATACACAATGCCTTTTATTTGCTTACAAAGAAAAAGAAACTCCGTTTAATACTCTTCTAAAATTAATTTCGTTGAAAAATCTGATATTCCTTTCTCATAAAATATTAATCCTTCCATAAATAAATTTCGAAAGTAATGTTTTTTTAAAACAAATTTTCAAATAATCCCCCTCATATTATGGGTGAGCTACCTAGTCAATAACATGAACAGAATATTTTCTTTTAAAATAAGGAAGATGAGATATTAATCAAATCAAATCAGATAATAGTAATTTATGACGTTTCAAAGTCACCCGCACAAAGCAAAGAGATTAGACAGACTCAACAATAAATTCTATCTTTAATCCCTTCCCAGAATAGAGAAAAGATATGTACACTCCATTGAACCTATACATATACGGCCACCTTATATGTATCACCTTCTCTCTCTTTCTCCTTATATATATAACTCCAAAACAATCATTAACACAAACCCCAAAAACCTTTAACAGAATTTTCTTTCATTCAGTGGAATCTTCTTATTCGTCTGATAATCAAAAGATATGGGATTGAATTTTACAGATAAAGCCTGGATATTTCTGGCGATTCTTTGTTGTTCATCGTTGATTTGTTCAGTAAAAGCATCAGTATCTTATGATCGTAAAGCTGTGATCATCAATGGACAAAGAAGAATCCTTCTCTCTGGTTCCATTCACTATCCACGAAGCACCCCTGAGGCAATACTCTTTATTTTCATATATCAAACTATATCTTTTTCATTCAAATGTTTATTCCAAAGTATCTAAATGGTGAAAATTTCACTCTCAATGGATTTTTGAAACTTCTGATTAAAGATTCCTTCTTTCTCTCTGTTTTCCGAAATTGATTGGCTTACTTTGATTTTGTCAATGTGTTTTTCTTTTCCAAGTTTTTTCGTTCACATGGGTTTCTTTGCTTATTATCTACATAATCTTTTTTTTTTTTTTTTTTTTAACGACCAAAAAAAATCTACATAATCTTTTTTTTTTGTTGTTATTTTATTCAAAACAATAAATGCATGAATCATTGAATGCTCTGTTTTTGTGTGTAGATGTGGCCAGGTCTTATACAGAAAGCCAAAGAAGGAGGCTTGGATGTTATAGAGACTTATGTTTTTTGGAATGGCCATGAACCTTCTCCTGGAAATGTAATTAGAATTTTGTGATTCTTTACTTCATTTTCTTATGTCATAAGTCACATCTCTTCTAATTATTCTTTATTATTTGTTTCCAGTATTATTTTGGAGACAGGTATGATTTGGTTAAGTTTATCAAGTTGGTGCACCAAGCTGGTCTCTATGTGAATCTCAGAATTGGCCCCTACGTCTGTGCTGAATGGAACTTTGGGTAAATACACAAAGTCACTGATTTCCCAAAACACTTCAAATAATAATTGGTTATCAAATTTTCATTTTGTTTTTTTTATAATGGTTTTGTAGAGGATTTCCGGTTTGGCTCAAATTTGTTCCTGGTATAGCATTTAGGACGGATAACGAACCCTTCAAGGTTTAAACTCAATAAAACTCTAATATAATAATTATTAATGTTCTTGTTATTAGATGATTAATATAAATTCTAATTGATATTGGAAAAGGCTGCAATGAAAAAATTCACTGAAAAGATTGTATGGATGATGAAAGCAGAAAAGTTGTTTCAAACTCAAGGAGGACCCATCATTCTTGCACAGGTGTGTTTTCATGTATTGTTGTTTGTTACATTAAATTCCATCATTAACCAATAAATGGATGTGAAGGGCTACTCAAATTATAAGTTTTTATTTTATTTTAATTATGTTGCAAAAAAATTGGACAGATTGAGAATGAATATGGACCAGTGGAGTGGAATTCAGGAGCACCAGCAAAGGCTTATACAAAATGGGCAGCTCAAATGGCATTAGGACTCTCAACAGGTGTTCCATGGATTATGTGCAAGCAAGAAGATGCTCCTTCTCCTATTGTACGTTTTTCCCTTTTCCTTCTTTGTAGCTATATTATAAGATTGGCAAAAAAGGGTTTTGTTTCCGTTATACAAAAAGTTATGTTTCAAAAATCTTCTGCTTTTTGGGTTTTTGCTCTAAAAAGTATATCAACCAAACCGGTATAAATTTGGTTTTGATTCGGGTTTGGTTTACTCGAAATGTTACATCAACTTTTAAATATTTAAAAAGCAGTTCGATTTCAGTTTCGGACCGGTGTTTGGTACAAGTCGAATAAGGATCAGTTATGTCTAGATCAGTAAGATTTTACTATGTTGGATTTTCTTTTTTTAACATTTTCACTGATGATGTTCTGTTTTGATGCAAATTATAGATTGACACATGCAATGGTTATTACTGTGAGGATTTCAAACCAAATGCAGCCAACAAGCCGAAGATGTGGACAGAGAATTGGACTGGTTGGTAAGTCACAACATTAATATATATGCCTACAAAATCTTTTTTTTTCCCCTTTCAACTAAATAAAAATTATAGATTGTGAGAGAACAAATTTTTTTATTAACTTTCAAACCGTAAAACAATATTTAAAAGTCTGCATGTAAATTATATACCTCAGGTACACAGAGTTTGGAGGTGCAGTACCGTACAGGCCAGTTGAAGATATTGCATACTCCGTTGCACGATTCATACTAAAGGGAGGTTCCTTCGTCAATTACTATATGGTAAAAATTAATAAAAACAGAGTTACATATCAACTTTTGGTTTGGTTTAGATTGTCAAAACCGAAATATTTACTGTTTGATTTTTCAAAACCTTTTTATTTACAGTATCATGGAGGGACGAACTTTGACAGAACAGCCGGTGAGTTCATGGCCTCAAGCTATGACTACGACGCTCCTCTTGACGAATACGGTACTAGCCAAAAACCCAAACACAACTAAATCTTTATAAACACAACTAATCTGATTCACTTTTTGGTCGTCTTTTTAGGTTTAACAAGAGAGCCAAAGTATAGTCACTTGAAAGCACTGCATAAAGTAATCAAGCTCAGTGAACAAGCTTTGGTCTCTGCTGATGCTACTATCACATGGCTTGGAGCTAAACAAGAAGTAAAGATCAAACCTTTTTAAATTTATAGTTTCAATTGAGAAAGAAAAACCTCCTAATGTTTGAAAGTATTGCTTTTTCAGGCTCATGTGTTCTCTTCTAAATCTTCTTGCACTGCGTTTCTATCGAACACCGACGAGAAATCTGCAGCGAGAGTAATGTTCCGTGGATTCCCATATGATTTGCCTCCTTGGTCAGTCAGTATTTTACCTGATTGCAAAACAGAGTTTTACAACACCGCAAAGGTAACAAAAACAGAACTCATAAGAAAGTTACATTATTGGTGATGTTTAGATTGAATTAACCACTGTGTTTTTATGATCAACAGGTCAATACACCAGGGATACACAGGAACATGGTTGCAACTGGTACAAGATTCGCATGGGAATCATTCAACGAAGCAGCTCCTTCTGCGAATGAAGTTGGTACGTTTGCAAGAAACGGGCTTGTGGAACAGATAAGCATGACTTGGGACAAGTCTGACTACTTCTGGTATCTTACAGAGTAAGTATAGTAACCTAACCCTGAAACTTTCTTTGTCAGAGGAAAAACAAACTCACTCTTTCTTTGTTTGTTTGTTGGTACTTTTACACAGCATTACAGTTGGTTCTGGTGAGAACTTTTTGAAGACTGGTGATAACCCTCTTCTTACCGTTATGTCAGCTGGTCATGCTCTTCATGTGTTTGTCAATGGACAGCTTTCAGGTAAATATAATAGAGAAACAATGGAAGCTTTGTCTTGTCTTTTGTCTTGTGGTGAAAACTTGAAAACGTTGTTTGTGTGTTCTCTCTATTTATAGGAACTGCTTATGGAGGACTTTCACACACGACAATAACCTTTAGCCAGAAGATCAAACTACATGCAGGTGTCAACAAGCTTGCTATGTTGAGTGTTGCAGTTGGTCTACCGGTTAGTTTCTGCTTGGATATAATCTTTCAAAGCAAAGCTTGAGTCCCAAGAAGATAGGTTTTTGAGATTTGTGGTTTCTTGTGTTTTGATTGCAGAATGTGGGTAGACAATTTGAGACGTTTAATAAAGGGGTTCTTGGACCGGTCACACTGAAGGGAGTTAACTCAGGAACATGGGACATGTCGAAATGGAAATGGTCTAATAAGGTAACTCCTTGAAATTCAAAAGCCAAATCTAAATTTGAGTTTCTTGGTAATGAAGAAACCAATCATTAACTATGGTTTAAATGTTGTTTTGAACAGATTGGTGTGAAAGGTGAAGCTTTGAGTCTTCATACAGACAGTTCCTCTGTGAGCTGGACTCAAGGATCATTTGTGGTCAAGAGGCAACCATTGACCTGGTACAAGGTAAGAGAAAAACAGACTGATTAAGTAAACAAAGATTTGATCTAATGAAGAAAAAAAGTAAAAACATGTTTTTTCTTGTTGCAGTCTACTTTTGCCACACCAGCAGGAAATGAACCATTGGCTTTAGACATGAACACAATGGGGAAAGGTCAAGTTTGGATCAACGGTCGTAACATCGGACGGCATTGGCCTGGTTATAAAGCTCAAGGAAACTGCGGTCGTTGCAACTACGCTGGAACTTACAACGACAAGAAATGTCTGAGTAATTGTGGTGAAGCTTCTCAAAGATGGTGAGAAACAACAACAAAAAAAAACTGCTTCTTTCTTTCTTTCTTTTTTCCGTCCAAATCTTGATTCATAGAGTTATGTCTCTCTGTGTTTTTGCAGGTACCATGTGCCTCGTTCATGGCTCAAGTCTCAGAACCAGATAGTCGTGTTTGAAGAGTGGGGTGGTGATCCTTTTGGAATCTCTCTGGTGAAAAGAGTATGAAGCTTCTCTTCTGATCATCCGAGTTTACAGGACAGAAGAAAAAGCTCTTTGATTGTTTTTCTCTTCGGCTCTGCTTTGAAGATAGAGACAGAGCTGGTAAATAAAAGTATTACGGATTTGTGCAGTTATTTACAAGATGTATAATTACAAAATCAAATTCACAGAATAATAATTCACAATTTTAGTGAAAATCTGCTTCTACATCTGCTGTTCACTTTCTTCTATCCAATAAATGCGTAAATCATCTCTTTCATTTACTCTCACATCGACGTGGGATTCGGATATTTTTTAGACTTTCCCGCCACAGTAAAAAAGTAAAACCCGGATTAAATGATAGTTGTTGGGCCTCCCACTAGGCCCATTTATAAAGCTAGTTTCCTAAGGAGCATTAAAATATATCAGACGATGATGGTAACATGTAAAAAAATGCGGGGGTACATTTGCAAAAAAGCATTAATTTACTTTAAAGGGGTTAATAGTTTCCGAAATTTACAAAATAACCCCTAAACCTATAGAGGCATTACCCATTACTCCATTAGTAACGCAATGTGACGAAAATTACCAAAACGGTCACACGAAACTACGACGTACGTAGCTGTTACCTTACCTAGTCTGCTCTACTACCACATTTACTGATTTTCCATTTTTCCGCTTCCCTATTAACAACGTGTAAATCAGTTTCACCTTTTTCTCTCCATAATTACCCGCCATCAAAATGACCAAAACACCCCCCAACTGGAAAACTATCTTCTAGCTTTCTCCGCACAACGACAAAACTGGTCAAACACGGTCTTCACCTAGAAACCTCGCCAGCAATTCGTCGTCCCACTCACACTCACACTCACTCGCTTTCGCTTCGTTTGCACCCCACGCTCCGCCTCTCTCCCCGTTGAAATCGAAACAGCAGCCGAACAGACCGCTTGCGTCGACGCTCGCCATGGCGGAAGCGTCGCTGTCCGAGAACGACGGACCACAGCTCTCCTCGTTGACGTTGATCGTGATGTAACCGGAAGATGACTGTACGACCACCGGAATCGCGTACGGATCGTCGATAAACCTCACTCTGAAACTCGACTCGCCGGGAAAGTTATTTCCTTCGATCTCCGTCGTCATTGTCGCCGGGGAAGAAGACTCGACGAGCTTCATGATTTCGTCCGGCGTATACTCGTCCTCTTCTGCACCGATCATCGTTGTCGTCACGTCCTTCGCCGCCGTATCTCCTTCTTCTTCTTTTGGATAACCGTTCACGTCTTCTTTACTGGTGCTTTCTTCCATTTTCTCTCTGTTCAACTCTTTGACAAGAGAGAGAGAGAAAGCAAAAGAGAGAGACCGTACGAATTTTCTGTTGAGATCGTCTTCTGGCACATTTATATAGAGAAGTGATGTACAATTATAAATATATAACACTTTTATGATGATATCTATGAATACAGTGAATCGGGGTTTGTAAGTGGGTCCGAATGAGTATGAAATTATGTCTAAATCAAATCAATTATATCAGCTGTCTGTCTTCACTTTTTTTGGTTGAGATATGTTACACGTTTTTGATAAACATAATTTTGGTTTTTTAAAGCTAGTTCACCAAGAACAAAATAAACGGAGAAATACGTGTCAACGATGATTCTTGATAAATCGAGAGAAATTCTTGATAAATCGAGAGAAATAGTTTTGGTACAGCTAAATAAACCATTTTCATTGGACACAATAACTCGATGTTTATCGTCATATACTATAGTTTAAGAAAGAAATTAAAAAAATCCAGACAAAGGTGGCAAAAAGTTAATGAGGAGTTACCAAAATTAGGAAGGTGGGTCTGTAAGTAAATTGTCAAAAAACTTGACTTTTCTCTGATATAAATCCAGAAGTCGGTCGATTTTTCTTTAATGTTCCCAATTCCCATTGAGAAGAAAACCAAAATTATTGATAGTGAAAAGACGTTATAGGGCATTGAATTAATTTGAAACTTTACAGGGAAGTGCCATCTGGTTGGGCAGTGTGTAGAGAGAGATCTCTCTAACCAATTATTTCCCTTTTCTAGCACAATTTATTTTGACCGATACGTTTCCGGTTCAAAAATATAATTGGCCTATGGACCATTTACCGACCATTTGTTTAATTGATCTAATAGACTGTCGAACCGGTCTGTACCGGAACTGCAAAGCAAGGTTTGCATATTTGCCTTTTGCCTTAAACGTGATTATGTACATTCAAATAAGAGTCAAACAGAATCCCTTGTTTCTTCTAAGATACAAATATCTCTCAACTAACTATTGAACCGGGAATGACCTCTCTTGATTTTTGCTTAACCGATTTCCAGAAGGTAAACAGTTGCCTTGTAGCACAAGGCACCAATCACTCCTTTTGACTTAACTCCAACGTTCTCCAACTGGCAAGAGACTGTTTAATGCGAACCGGATCGTAACATGTGCGACGATGACCCATGCTCGCTCAAGCTTCCGGTCGATAATCTCCTCATCTTTTGCCAAAACGTCTTACCTCTCCCCGAAACCAAGGGACCCGAGTTAGATTCCCTCTCTAACCTCCCGGAACCGGTGAACATTTCCGACATAGAAACTCCTCTCTCCGTGTCAGGCTCAGAGTCGTAATTCGGAAGCAACGGATACCTAGCCACCCTCCCTGAGCCGCCCTCACCACAAGAGATCTCACCTCGAGCGTCATCTCTCATATCGTCTTGAGTGATCGAAGTCACAGAGTGAAGCTCCTTAGCTTCCTCGCACTCGTTGCACACAAGTTTCAGAGCTTGCACTACTTCCCCCATGAAAGGACGGTGCGACACTTCCGGTTGAACGCACATGGAAGCAATCGCCGCGACTTTCGCTATGCTGTCGAACGAGATCTCGGGTCCGAAAGACTTGTCTATAATAGCTTCGAGCCCTTCTCTGCTCGTGAGATGAGCCCGAGTCCACGAAACCAAGTTCTCTTGTCCCGCCGGTTGAGACATATCCACCGGTTTACGCCCCGTGAGTAGCTCCAGAAGCACAACTCCGTAGCTATACACATCGCTCTTCACTAAAAGATGCCCCGTCATTGCGTATTCCGGCGCCACATACCTATAAAAAACGAAACATTATTAACAAACGCTTTTGAAGTGTTTTGTTTTGTCTTAGCTTTGGTTTTGATCACTTACCCAAAAGTGCCCATAACGCGTGTTGATATATGTCTGTTATCTTCATCGTCAAGTGCGTTTCTTGCCAATCCAAAGTCTGAGACTTTAGGCGTGAAGTCGTGCTCAAGCAAGATGTTACTAGACTTGAAGTCTCTGTGTATCACTCTCGGGCTCGAGTCTTCGTGTAGATACGCTAATCCACGAGCTGCACCGAGAGCTATCTTCAACCTAGCATCCCAATCTAAAGGAGAAGCCTCTTTATCTATCCCTAAACAAGAAACAAAAACACAAAACAAGTTTAATGATATTTCAAAGACCATATTAGGGCATCTAACGTCTGATAACATACCGTGGAGGTGAGATTCAACGCTGCCATTAGGTATAAGCTCATAAACCAAGGAACGGTTACGGTCTTCGATACAGATACCAATCAGATTGACCAAGTTTCTGTGATGAAGACGGCTAAGCATTTCAACTTCAGCCAAGAACTCTCTACCACCTTGATGGTCATCTCTCTTCAACACTTTAACCGCTACTTTAGTTCCGTCGTCGAAAAGACCTTCGTAAACCCGTCCAAACCCGCCTTCGCCGAGAACCCTCTTCTCCTCAAAATTGTTCGTGGCTTTCGCTATCTCGCTTGCCGTGAACGTCTTCGCAGAGAGAGTAAACGGAGCAATGCTCGACTCAAACGACATCGAGCTGAACCGGCTTCCGGTTAAAGATCTCGCGGAGCCTGATGGTTTCGAGAGGGAAGGCAGCGAAGGACGAGCGGGCGGTGGTGCTCGTTTGGAAAGCCGCCGGTCTCTTCTTGGCCGGAAAACCAAGAACCAGACGATGACGAAACATAAACCGATGAAAGCAGCCGCAGACAGAACAATGACAGCGATAGTTCCAGCATTGAGCTCTCTCTTGCGCGGCTTCTTAGGAACATCGACTCCTAGCGGTTTTACAGCTCTTCCATTGTTGTTACCGGAGAACGGTCCTTGGTCTGTTATAGTCATACCGGAAGGCGGGAACGGAGGAGAAGCCGGTAAACCAGGATACCGGACGTAGATGACGTCGTATTCACCAAAGATTGGTACGTCTATGTATACTTTCTTACTGTAGAATCTCTGGTAAGTCAGCATTGCAGTCAAGTTATCGAATTTATCTCCGAGAGGGACCAAGTCGATGAGGACGACGGACTTCTCCGGTTGCTCGCTAGCGGCGTTGGCTCCCATAATACGGACTTGGCTCTGTTTCATGAAGACTCCGGCGCTGATTTCCCGAGCGAATTCTGAGACCATTGGGAAGAAGTCGTATAGGGCCATGCTGAGCCGGAGCTCAACCTGAATAGGCCAGACGCAGCCGCATGGAGATCCTGGAGGTGTGTTTGTGTATGGTTCCATGCAAACTGTTGATGTACAATCTGTGCAGGAAACAGCAAGAAAATTTGGTTTTGGATTGAGACAAGAAGCTGTTTATCTTAAAAGTAAATGGAAAAAGCTCTAACCTGAATTAGGGGGAGGAGGAGGGAAAGCTTGAAGAGGTGGACCGAGTGGGAATTTACGAGATTTTGAAGGTCTTGAAGAGGACCTGAGAGGAAGAACTTTAGGAGAAATAAACACAACTTAGGATTTGACATCAAGCAAAGAGGTAAAGAAAGAGACTTTTTCATATTTGTTGTTGAAGTGGAGGAATCAAACCTTGGGTCGGAGAAGGTGCTGGAGCTATGGAGATGCGGTGCATTGCGGAAGAGATTGGAGTGTGAGTAGGAGAAATGGTGGGAGAAGGAGCAGAGTGTGATGATGGAGGAGGAGTTGTCATTGCACCTATAACAAAAATCATATGGAATAGACAGAATTAAGATCACAGAAACAGTGATGAGTGGCTAATTTAGGTATCTCAAAGTGAAAACCTTTATGTTTTGACTTCTTTGGAGATGTGAAATGCTGTGGTGGTGGTGGTGGTGAAGGAGCTGGACTGTTTGGGATCTTGTTTCGTTCTTGATGACGTCGGTGGTGTGAAGGCAGAGGGGGAGAAGAAGACGATGAAGAATGGCGGTGTACATTACTTGGAGTAGAATCTGGAGGTGGAGTAGTAGTATGATGAGAGTGTCCGTTGAATTTTGGGGTTGAGGGAGCTATTGAAGGAGGAGAAGCTGCAATGTGATAATAACACGAACTTAGTATCCATGTAACAGCAAGTTACATGATTGATTCACTAAAAAAAACAAACCTTCATGTGGGAAGACAGGCAAAGGTTTAGCGGTTTCATTCGACGGTGCAGCGACCGGACTTTTGTTATCGCTGGGAGGTTGATGTTTTACTGGATTCGCAGGATGATCTAGAGAAGAAAGAGGAAATGTTCATGTTCTGGATACAGGTTTTTTTACGGATAAACACATTCAAAAGCTGAGCAAACCTGGTGAGTGAGCAGGAGATTCTATGGGGAAAACCGGGTGAGTTATTGGCGGATTCCTTCTTGGAGATCCCTTTGTTGGACTTGAGGTTGGTACTGTTAGGTTTGTAGAGAGATATCAGAGGACAAACAGAGACATTAAAGTAAACAATGTGAGAGAAACTTTAAACAAAACAGACTAAGTAAGGTTGCAACAGCTTACCAGGTGAGCTAGAGGGTGTTAACTTTGGTACGATGGGATGGACTGGCGGTGAAAGTTCAATTGATATTGTTGGTGGAGATGCAACTGATTCAGAGATTTCAGAGACCACAAATGAGTTCATGTCTTCAGAGGCCAAAAATAATTGAAATGTGAGCTAGAACTCTATACCAGGAGCAATAGGCTTTTCGATAGGAGCTGCAAAGCTAAAGATTCACGTTACCTGGAGATACTCTTCCAGAGAAAGGAGGCTCCTTTGGTGCATTTCTTGGAATGAGTTGAGGTGGTGAAGCAATCGGTGTGATTATAGGTTCCACCGGAGGAGATTTTCCGGGCAAATCCTTCACGGGTATTGTAGATGGAGCTGAAGAAAGAATCAAAAGCCCATAAAAAATTTGAATTCAATACACAATTCTACTTCTCAAGTGTGTTTGAGAAGTGTTCGATCAATTGTCTGTGAGAGAATCAACATTTCTACCTGGAGCACTAGGAACCGTTACAATAGGCGGCGCTTTACCTCCGGCGGAATCTGACGGCGGAGGAGCTGCAACGTCAGCTAAAGGAGGAGGAGGTGGAGAATCCACCGGAGGAGGTGACACGTCAGCTAAAGGAGGAGGAGGAGAATCCACCGGAGGTGCTGTCACGACAACTACAGGAGGAGGAGGAGGTGGAGAATCCACCGGAGATGCTGCCTCTACAGGAGGAGGAGGAGAATCCACCGGAGGTGCTGCCACGTCAGCTAAAGGAGGAGGAGGAAGAGGATCCACCGGAGGTGCTGTAACGTCAGCTGAAGGAGGAAGAGACGGTTGAGAAGCTTTAGACGGTGGCGCATTGCCGGATTTGTGAGATTCAGGCGAGCTAATCGGTACTTGACCGAACCCTTTTGAAGTTTCCGGTAATGGAGAGGGTGGTGATGAAAATGGAGATAACAAATCCAATCCTGAAATTTAACAATTTTTGACAAATCACGAAATCAAAGATCTTTGAAGAGAAAGTAAAAGAAAATTTGCGTCAACGAGCTGTTAGTTGGATTTGACTCAATTAGCTGACACGAAATCAAAATCATTCACAATATAAAATTTACACCAGAAACAAAATTAGTCGCATTTTCATGAACGAAACAACAACAACAAAAAAAGCGTTTTTTCTTTCTTCTTTCTTCACCAATTGTGTTATTTTTTTTTTTCATCTCATGATCTGAAACAACATTTTCCACTAGTAGAGTTATTACAAGCTCATTGTTACTAATACACCAAGAACAAAAAAAAAATTAGAATTTGTTGTTTGAACATATAGCAAATTGAGTCTTCTAACCCAAATTTAAGTCAAACAATGACAAAAATTTGCTTTTTTTTTTAGGGAGGATGAAATTAAAGTTACCTGAGGAAGAACCAGAAACTAACACCGACGAAACCAGACAGATCCTCAGGAGGAAAAACAAAAACTCCATTCCATAGAAGAGATCAGAGCTTCCTCGATGATCACGAGGAAGACAGATTTGATGGGTAATCTTAATCTCCAAGTTTTTAGAGCTGAGAGAGAGAAAAAAAGAGTCGAAGTGGGAGAAGAAGAGAAATGGCTTAAAACGCAAGAAGAAGAAGAAGAAGAAGAAGAAGAAAGTAACAGTGAGAAAGAAGCAAAGGAATGATTTTTATTTTTCTTTGCTTTTTATGAATTTAATGCTCAACAAAAAGAAAATAAAAACAGAAGCGAGTTTGGTGGAAGAGAACGGTAGCAATCAAAAGGGCTGCAATTAATCTCTCGTCTCCTTGTTTGAACAAAAACGGTTCATTGTAGAGAGATTTGTTTTAGCAGAAAAGGTGGGATTTTGAAGGTAGTGGGATAGTGTCAATGGAGGAAACTAGTGTTGTGTCTGAGAGAGCCTAGTGGGTTTTCAACCATTTGTTTATTATTTCCCTGTTTGAGGGGTTGAAGAAGTGAATTTAATTTAAAACTCTGTTTTTTTCTTCAATGTCAAATACTCATCAATATATTCCCTACACGTATGTAGTTTTGTTTTGATTTTCATCATTCATTATTTCAGTGGTTTGAGAATATGCGTTGAAGCGTTTCCCAAACATAAATTTAGTAACTACACAATAGTTTACAAGAGATTTCTTTTGTACAAGCGTTTCTTTTGTAGAATCTAGTTTTAGTCTTTAAGATTTGATCAGCCAACCACCATTTTCTTTTGGAGTTTTATCAATTAGATTTATACTAGCTAAACCCACCTTTTAGGATACTTATATGTCACTTTTCAAACGTATCAACAACATATAGTAGATGTTTGTTTTATATGTGGCACAAGATTCCAAACACTATAAGTTGTCCCAAATAAAAATTGTCACCAAACAATTTGAGCATATCCCATCTAGAACAAGATTCAAGCCCCATTTGGTAAGAGACATGAACAAAGTATATTATTATTTTTTTTAATTGGGAAATTATAAAATATTTTATTATATTAAATTAAATATTAGTAGTTGCTAAAAAACTGTAATAACATACAAAAAAAATAAACCTTTAAGTTTCATGACTAAATTTCTATATCCTTTCTCCCCTCGCGTTATCACCTTCTAAAAATTTGTGTTTTTCTATTTTCATATGATTATGCACCTGAAAGTGTAAGTTTGCATAATGAATCATCTCCACACTCGAAACAAATACGTAGTGGAATGCACTAAAATTTGTTAGATATTGTAAAACTCGTTGAATATAAAGAAAAAAGAATCCAACCATCGCAAAAGCAAAACTTTAGTATGGATTAGCCTGTAAAACAGTTTTAGCGTTTACTATTATAGGGTATGACCATAACCATAACGTAACCTCCTATTTTTGTATGTTTCCTTCAAATCTAGATAACACAATCAAATACTTCTTGACATGTGTTTCGTATATTCTTTATCTGTTTATTTTTCATTCCCTCCACAACGTTGTTTTCATATCTTACTTTGTTTGCTTTATGAAGAGAGAAAAAAAAGATAGATGAAAATCATTTGGTGGTGAAACCGATAGCAACAATTCACTTTAATTGATAGGCACAACAATAGCACCGACGCAGCATCTTGTATATATTTCCCTCAAATCCAAAATGCAAGTATATAGTGTTGTCGAAATAGATAACTCATTCATTATATTTCGGTTGATAAAATGCAAATATGTCAAAGATTAGGTCCACAAACAAATTGATTACATGTTGACCAAAGCGAAAAGTATGTACACTGATTGTATCATTGTATTTTATCAACCATTTTCCAAGCGGATCAAGGAGACCCTCCGGAAAAATTAATAGAGAAAGTGTACAAGACCACCTTGAGATTTTTAATATTTTAAATCGTCTATACCCCGAAAGAGAGGGACTTTTATAGGCAAATTAATTAGGCTGTATTTATCTCCCTAGTTAAAGTCAAATTAATTTGGCTGCAAGCCTCCAAATAGTCAAATGTAGTAATTAAACTCGCTGGAAAATTGATGAACAGAAGGATTAAACCGGCGTTGGCTAAGAAGTTCTATAGTATTAGTCAAAAACATCAAACTTGCCTTCAATTTCCCAAGATTCGGCGAACTCTTTGTATAACAGTTTTTTTTAACTATACAGTCTACTTTTTATATTAAAGCACATAAACATGCCAAATCACATTCGGAAACATCATTTTCAAAGAAAAAAGCTACCTAATCAATCGGAGCAAATCCTTAATCATACGGTTAGTTCAACCAAACTACTGTATGAATAATTTTGTATATTGAAATTCAACTCTCGAATTGAAAATGACATTTGTGAAACGGAACATTAAGTTCAAATTGCATTATACTCCATTAAGTCTTGATTTATTACAACACACAAAAGTGGCTGAATATATTATTAATCACAAGATTGTTTATTTATTAAGCAGAGTAAAAGCCAAACAAAACCAGCTCTTCCGTAAGAATTAATCACCAAACAAACAAACAAAACAAAGTTTCAAAACACGTGGTGAAAAAGAATCAGTTCCGTTGTCACTAATTAAAGACTATTAAAGTATAATAAAACAAGATTAAAATTCTGATTGCCCTTATTATTATTTTGAAAAATTAAAAATAATGATTTAAAAAACAAAAATGCACCGACATAAAACACGAGATTCAGTCACACAGACACAGCGTCACAACTAAAATAAAAACAGATGAATAATGGAATTGCGAGAAGGAGTGGCGAGAATTGCAGATCGTAATTTTGGTGTCTACTGTGGGGACAATACGATCGATACGACCAGATTCGAGTTTGGCTTTTGTCGTTTAATTGTATGACGCGATCGTAGACAACGACATTGAGTCTTTGTTCCTTTACTGTTCAAACGAAATAATATAATATTTTTGAATCATATAAAAGACTAAAAGAGTCCAATAGAATTAGCAATTAGGTGGAATAACATTTTGAGCCGAACCAGAAAATAAAATAAAAATCCCCATGCTTAAAAAGAAATGAATTTAATTCAAGGATTAATTATAAAATGGTAAAAAGCATAGACTAACGTTGAAATGTATGAGTGGTTAAAATATATAGCCAATAATTCCTATCTACAAGACTACAACTAGTACTATATTATATCCTCCCTATATGTAGATATTGTATTAAGCATAATGAGATATTTCATATTTGCATGATGGTCCGGAAAAAACTTGTCGAGTCTCGTGACAATTAATTACTATATACCCACCGAAATAAATAAAATATTCCTCCACTCTGAACTGGATCCGACTAAGTCCAGGTGGTTGTACTGTGCCAAATGCCAATGCCAATGCCATATGATTTGATATTCAGATTTTCAAAGCAAAGGGAAAAAAGGGTAAATTAATCTAACAGAAGTTAACCTAAATTACTAGAAAATTAAATAGTAGTTGATGCATTTAAAGAGAGATAGAGACCCTAATTACGGGACCATCAAAGTTCACTTTCACATTAAGAGCCATGTGCCTTTCATAGACGAGAATCTATGAGTCTTTTATAGGAGGGTTTGGTTTCTTTAACCAGTTTGATGAAGCTTTTCTTTTGTTTCCTTTACTCTTTTGCTAAAGCTGCAACGCCAACAACAAAGGAAATTTAAGGTCACGTCTCTCTTCTTCTTTATACCATGTGTTAACCTCTTTCTCAAGGTACCATCCTTCAGATGCAGAAGTTGAATCTGATTCACTAAAAACCAGCTTCACTTTCACTGTTTTGACAAAAAAAATGGTTTCACCAAGTGATTAAGAGATTGATGGTGAAACCACATTGACAAGATACTGCCTGGTTTTATTAGTTTATAATGTTATTGCAGAAACCATTGTAGTATCAAAATATGTCTTGGCTGGACATGATGGAGATTGGAGATTATATTTGTGAAGGAACCAACCAACAAGAAACATAAAAAGGACCAAGGACAATGACTAGTTATAGGTGAAAAGCAGGCCAAGAAAATGTTTAATAATGACTGTTTTTGTGGTGATCAGTGTTTCTCATATCTCAACAAACAACAATAACATATCTCAATGACTGTTCTACAAGATCAAGAAAGTTAACAAGGTAAAAAAGCTAATCAAACAGAAGGAAGACCGTAAGCTTTTAACTGAACCAAAACAAAGAACAATGTTGATGGACCTGTATCTAAAGATGGAGACAAACAAGGCTTTCTAGGGAGACGCATCGTATGATCCATTCAGCTTCCGACCTAGAGAAATGTCAAAGGCAAAAGACGATTAGAAGGAAACATAATCATCAAACGTTGATGGAAGAAGATAGTAGGAAATTTAGCATTAAGATGGAAAAGTAGATGAATACCTGAGTGCATTGGTTAGCTTGATTGATGCGCACAAGATAACATTAACTTTTGTTCAGTAAGGCTATTGGCAAGGGTCAAATTCTTGGAATTGTTTCTTGAAATCTTCAACAAGCTTTGCCTCCTCTTCTTGGCTAATCTTACAGTTTCTCCAGTCGGCTCTATCTGGGATCTTTAGCAACCCTGCAAGAACCTGTAAATTCCAAAGTCAGTTTCTAGACACACAAAATATACCTTAAGTTGGATTGGATGTTATCTATCTAACTGAATACAAATCAACACTATGGCCTTGAGCGTGCAAGTTCTTTTGTTGATAATCAGTCTATTAAAAAGAACATATTTGAATCTTGTGTTACTGTTGGCATCTTTCATAGTACAAAGAAATGTCTTTACCTCGCGTCCAAATTGTGCAGGGAATACTTCATTCTCTTCCAAGGTGTGTGTTAACACAGTTCCATCAGGAAGTACCACATAGAAGAGACCCAAAGCTTCATTGTATTCCTTCTGCAGATATTTTCTGCCTTCGGAACTATCATTAACTGCAACAAAGACAACATAATTAAGTACAAAAAATTAACTCAGAATGCAAAGGAAGAACGCAGCTTATAGATGGAGTCCATTGATTCCATAAGATAGAAGAGAAACAACATAAAAATTTTAGCTTACACTTTTTCGTCACAAGCTTGAAGCCCAGTTTTTCAGCCGCAAGACTAAATATATTAGGAAGAAGACGAGCTCTGGATGCTGGAACAGGAACAGCCTATAGAAAGTAGAGAAAATGATGCTAATGTAAGCAACTTTAAATTCAAATGATCTATCGGATTTGCAATAGGAACGTTTCTTACCTGGAGGTTAGCATGAGAAACACGTTTAGAGACCAGTTCAAAGAAAACTGCATCATTTCCTTGGCTCTTATAACAATTCCTCAGACCATTTTGGTATCTACTAAGCTCGGATTCACCCTCAGGAGATAAAACAAGGGTATTTGGCAAATGTTCGATTGGGATTATCAATATGTGGTCTTCGACTAGTGAGCCTTTAGGTAGAGCACAATAAAAACTCTCCCCTACACTGACGATCAGATGTGACTCCACACTCGGGCTTGATAGACAAAACCAGCATTCTCTAGACCTAGAAATTGCAATTTTGAGACAACAATTACTCAATCAATCCCTAGTCAAAATGGCATGTATTTTGCAGGAAGAATGGTCAGAAGTTCAAAATCAGTAAATACCTGTTAGCATTATCAGATCTGGGCTTTCTTTGTACACTTTCATCTTGAAACTCGTGCTTGTAGCTGCACTCTGGGCCTTTTTCACACTTACCTTTGATGATAAGATCAAGGCAAACACCTCTACGACACTGTTCTCTTGCCTCAGCGTTGTGCTGGAAGTGGCAACTTTCCCCTCGAGGACAGGACCCTGAGCATACAAATTTGAAACAGAGCTTCTCCCCATCTGGTCCATTCTTCTGTCGCTTTGAGACATCATACCTCCAATATTGTGAATCAGAGTCATCTTCGTTTGACCTCTTCTTCGATTCAGTAGCTCCCTCTTGTAACGTATAAGGACATAGTGTAGTCTTTGGAGGCTTTGCATTAAGCTCTGATGGTGACATCGTAGACGATGGTGTAGGAGAAAGTGCATGAAGAAACTTCTGCATACACCAAAAAACGGAGCAACACTGGTCAAGACAAAAACCCGCAAAAAACCGCATAAAAGAATGTTCATGTTCTTGCAAAGATTCTGCATTCAAAGTATTTGCATCTAGGAGGAGCCATTCATACTGTAAAAGAGTATCAAGCGAAAGCAATGGCTAATCGTCATAAGCCAAACAGAAAAATGAAAATTTTATGATAGTAATGATTGAAGAACACACCTGTTTGTTTTTGTTTCCAACTTGTGCAAGACCAAGAAAGCGAGTTACATGACTAGAATCAACGTTAAGGTAAGGTTCACGAGCATAAAACACCCCCATAGAACCTGCAATGTGATAGCTACCACAAATACACAACAACAAAAACAACAAATAAGCTCGCCACTAAATCGATAATTCCCATTAACCACAGATACAAGACTCCAAAACCACTTACCGAGGTTTAACTTCCTTCACCAATTCAGAAACAGTGAGATCACAACAAGAGGAATCAGAAACGTCTGCAGGAACATCAGAATCCACAGCTCTCTTCGTTACTCCAGCAGGCCATTCATTAGTATACACTAATTAAGGACGACAAATGCTAAAACATTTCACGAAAAATGCATCAACAGTTCCAATTTCCATAAAGTGATACAAAAAGGATATGTTAAGAACAAATCAACCACTCCAGGTTCTTCAGCAAGTGCACGAAGAGCATCAACATCATCTTCACTGTATTTCCCAAATTGGCTATCAGATGATTGCCTCCCAGATAAGTAAGTAATAGACAGACCTAAACATAATCAAAAGCATATCAGCAATAAACAAACACAAACAAAGATTGATTTTTTTTTTTTATGAATAGCAAAAACCTTTACCATGAAGAGTGAACTTCCCACTTCCTCTTAGCCAGAACAAATTGGGGGAAACCTCGAGTCCGTCCATCTTAAACCCTTGATTTTCTGCTTTCTTCGAGGTCGCCGATAGGATTTTGGGGGCGGTGATGCCATAGTCGCCGGTGAAGTAAGTAGGAATCGGAACCTGAGCTCGGCCTTCGACGTAATCCAAAAACTCGTCTAGAAGATCCGGTGAATCGGGAAAAAACTGTCCGACGCAAAGAAGTGCGTCAAATGGACCCGCCGATTTGCTGACCTGCGAAAATTGGACTTGGATTAGAACCCTAGGAGATGCAGAATCGGAAGGAGATAGATAGTGATAGAGAGAAAGAGAAAGACCGATTGGACACGCTTGAAGAGCTGATTGAGACGTCCGAGAGGATCACCGCATAACAGAATTCTGGGCGCCATGAGTGATGATGAGTGTGTCGTCGTATCAGTGAGAGATTGTTTAGAAACTTGAAAACATGGAGGAAGCAACGACGGAGAGAGACTTCGGAGTTTTGGACTATTGGGTCTTCACGAGTTTAATGGGCTTATGAATATTAGCACTTTTAAATTTTTAATACGTTGTAGTTTTTCCAAAGATTTGAATTTCCAAAATGAATAACTTTCAAATAATAAGATGAAGATGGTATCAAATTTGTATTAAAACATTTTCAATTTAGAATATGATATTTATGAATTACCAGAATTATTAGAAAGCTATGTATATCTATTGTGACTTTTTTTGTTCAACGATAGCAAAATTATTTGGAAAAATCTTAATTAATCTTCTATATATACATTTTACTCCTAAGAAATTAGGATCCACAAAATGATAAGCCGATCATGATTGCTTATAAACAACATTAAACGGAACATTTTTTTCACGTCTACTCTTTCTTTTGTCTTTTTATTATTTTTAATGATCTTATTTGATCATATTTTTTATTCCCTAGAGCAACCAAGAGATCATATTTGGGAATGCTCTAAAATTGCCACTAACATTTTGAATTCACTGGTGAGCTACTTAGTCGTTATCATTTGCAACATGTATATATTAGATGGTATAGTGATCTGAATAGCGTAAAACAAACATTGAAAGTAAAATGAGACCAACCGAGGAAAAAAAAAATCATATCTGTCTTTTAAACATTAACAAAACCAAGTTTGAGAAATGAAAAGCAAATACTAAAATGTTTTAAAACATTAATAAAAAACCTAGTAATCACTCAAACTCTATAATAAATATATATCATTATTTAAATGAGGATTTGGTTATGTATATTATTCAATGACCAATATTACATAACCAAATCATCATTTGAATACTTAATAAGATTGAAAAATCATATTCTATCACAAATTCACAATTTATTTATTTTTGTCTCATAATATACATAACCAAATTCTCATTTGAATACTTAATAAGAAACATGGAAACCAGAATCATAAGATCTCGAAAGAAAAACATTGTGGAAAGGAATTGAAAAAACTTCTGAAGAGAAATGGGCAATTTTTGTGTAGTTTAAATATCAAAGTAGTAAATCGTATCAGTGAGAGATATGATTGAAACCAAATATCTAAGACCATAAAGTGAATAAGAAAATCATAGAACAATGTATCTAAGAACATAACTCAACTGAAGACTTAGACAAATGATAAATTGAGAGACAAAGGACAAAATGAAGACTTAGTAGTGCCGGTATGACCCCAAGGTTGTCTCCTAACTATTTCTCTAAGATCATTATCTTTGATATCAGTCAAGTTAATAAATTATCCACATTGTAGCAATGGACCTACAAACAATAAGTAAGATATGATCACAACTGCTTATTTATAAAATTATTATATATCTAAAAAAACATATAATTTACTTTTGTATTTTGCTCTAGGGAAAAAAAATATGATCAAATAAGATCATTAAAAAAGACAAAAGAAAGAGTATATGTGAAAAAAATGTTTTCGATTGATCATATTACAAAGAGATCATATTTTGGGAATGCTCTAAAATTGCCATTAACATTTTGAATTCATTTGTGTGCTACTTCGTCGTCATCATTTGCAACATGTTTATATAGATGATATAGTGATTAGAATACCGTAAAACAATCATTGAAAGTAAAATGAGACCAACCGAAAAAACAAAAATCATATTTGTGTTTTAAACTTTAACAAAACCAAGTTTGAAAAAAGAAAAACAAATACTAAATGACTATAAATGAACATCTGTTAACTTAACAGTGTTAAGTACTGTTCAATTTTTTATCATTAAAAAACAAGATACTATTAACGTTAACTGGTATGACATCTTTTTTTTTTGTCATCTGAGTGAAATATATTAACAACAGGGAGGAATACAACGTTTCTGATTGAATTACAGATAGCCCAAAAACCAGGCAAGAAAGTGAAACACCAAAAAAAACACTTCACCAACTTTAAGAGCCAAGTAAGACGCCTATCCTGAAAATCCAAAAGAAACCTGAACAAGCTTAGATCAAACAAAGGAAAGAACTCTCTCATCCGCAAAAACGCCATTCAACCAAAACGGATGACTGATCGCCACATAAGACTGAAGACGACAGTCACTGGTAACGCTTTTAGCAATGAAACTAGCTCCTCTATTTGCTGACGCCCTTTCTAACACCACTTTCCAATCCGAGATCATTGATAACAAGGGAAGAATCTCAGCTGCATGAAAGCTGTAAGAAGGCCAAGCCTGAGGCCGATTAACTACACCTACTAAAACCGCATCCTCCAAAGCAAACTCCACTCTCTCCATTTTGTGGCAAATCATACTTTCTATCGCCCACACGAGAACTAGGAATCTTGCCTCAAACACATCAATAACACCTGAAAAAGCTCTTCTACTATGAAGCAGAACAAACCCTTTCTCATCTCTTAGAACCCAGCTTGCACCTGCAAACTTGTTCCTTTTAGACCACGAGAACCCAATATTGCATTTATACCAAGCCAAAGGAGGAGCAACCCACGGCTTCGTTATAGTGCTCAACAAACTAGAGCCCCTTCGACACCTGAAAATCTCCGACTCCTCCTCAATTCCGGATTTTTGAGCCATAAACCACTTCTCTGCATCTTTTCTAATCTTTGACACAATCTCAAAAGAGCTAAAAGATTCCCCTTTAAACAAAAACAGATTCCTGTTTTTCCAAATAGTCCAAACAATCCAAGGGAAACAAGTTCGTAACTCTAGAGGCCAAAGCTCATTGTTAGTGTTCACTAACAAATGGTAAACGTTTGAGAAAACTGACCCATTAGCAAAACCACACAAAGGTTGAGGATAGTCAGAAAGAGCCCATACCTGACGAGCAACAGAGCATTTAAAGATGACATGGTTAATAGATTCACCCTCCAAACCACAAATCTGGCAACAACCATCAATCTTCAAACCTTTAGTTGCTAAACCATCAGCAACAGGAACCGCTCCACTTAGCATTTTCCATAGGAAACTTTGAATCTTTGGATCAGTTCGTAGATTCCAAACTTGCTCTTTTAGGATATTAAGAGAGGGAAGAGCTTCTGCTCCTTGTAAAAGGTCCCCTTATTGATTTGAAACGCTAACCAATAGGCTGATTTTACTGAAAACTGTCCACTCTTGTTCAGTTTCCAAACTAAAAAATCATCCTTAGAAACCACTGGCTTGTGCTTCAAGATTCTTTGAACATCATCTGGATAAAAAAGATCATCCAATTTACCCCTGTCCCATCCTCTTGAGCTAAAATCAATAAGCTCTTCCACCTTTAAATCAATATTGATCCTATCGTTCTTCATAAGAGGGCAACGCATAACAATATCCTCTATCCACAGTTCGCTCCAAACATTAGTGGAAGCTCCATTTCCAACTTTTTTAACCAAGCCTTCAGACAGAAGATCTTTTCCAAAGGAAATACTTCTCCACCCATACGAGGGTCTATTTCCAAGGCCAACATTCAGAAAATCACTAACAGGGAAATATCTACTCTTCAACATCCTTGCTATTAAGGAATTCGGGACTTGTAAAATCCTCCATGCCTGCTTAGCAAGTAAAGCCTGATTGAAAAGGCCAATATCTCTGAAACCCATGCCTCCCAAACATTTAGGAAGACATAGTTTTTCCCAACTCTGCCAATGAATCTTCCTCGAATGCTCACAAGAGCTCCACCAAAAATCAGCCATCGCGCTAGAAAGAGCAGAACAAGTAGTGATTGGTAACTTGAAGCAAGACATGGCGAAAATAGGCATCGCCATAGCAACGGATTTAAGCATCACTTCTTTACCTCCCTGAGATAATGTTCTAGCATACCAACCCGATAGCTTTCCTTTCAACCTATCTTTAATATAGTTAAGCATCTCCACTTTAGACCCACTAAAGCATTCAGGAAGTCCAAGATACTTACCAGCTCCACCTTCATTTGATATACCCAAGATCTCTTGAGCTTCCTTTTTAACTTGAGCATTGACTTTGCTTCCAAAAGAAATAGAAGATTTTTCCACATTAATTGTTTGGCCAGTCGCTGCTCCATAAGATGAGAGAATACTCCCCAGTTTTCTACACTGCCCAGAGAAAGCTTTACACAGAAAGAGGCTATCATCAGCAAAAAGAAGATGATGAATTTCAGGTCCTGAGTCTGAAAACCTAATGCCTTCAATAGTTCCTTCCTGTTGAGCTTTATTTAACAGGTGGGTTAGACCTTCAGTGCATAAGACAAATAGAAAGGGAGAAAGAGGGTCTCCCTGTCTTAAACCTCTTTGCGGTGTAATCATACCATAAGGCTGATCATTTATAACAACTGAATAAGTAACAGACGATACACACCGCATGATCCAATTTACCCACTTGATATGAAACCCCAAGGCCAAAAGAAGAGATCTGAGATAGCTCCACTCAACTCTATCATATGCCTTAGACATATCAGACTTAACTGCCATGAACTCTGATGAAATATCTGGATGAACGTTGAGGCTATGCACAAGTTCATGGGCCACCAGAATGTTGTCGGAAATCAGACGCTCCGAAACAAAGGCTGATTGAGTTTCTGATACAATCTGGGGAAGGAAACCTTGTAAACGGCGCACCAAAATCTTCGAGATTATCTTATAAGTCACCGAACAAAGACTTATAGGGCGCAAGTTTGACATCTCCACTGGATGAATAGTCTTTGGAATAAGACAAAGATGCGTATAATTCCACTCAATCGGAAAGTCTCCATTGAGAAAGAAATTCTTCACTTCCTTAGTAACCTGAGAACCAACCACCTCCCAGTAAAACTGAAAGAAAAAACCAGACATACCATCCGGACCAGGAGCACTTCCTGGCTTAATTGAGAAAACAGCTTCTTTTATTTCTTCATCAGTAATCTGCCTGATAAGGGACTGATTCATCCTTTCAGTCACTTTTGGAATGATCCCTTCAAACCAAGAATCAAAGGAAGAGGGGTTAGATGATTTAAAAAGGTTTTGGAAATAAGCCGAAGCTACCTCTCCCTTTGTCGCCTCAGACCTTTGAAAATTGCCATTCACATCCAACAGCTTCTCAATTCTTTTTTTCCTCCGGTTAGCTTTCACTGAAGCATGAAAGAATTTCGTGTTACGATCACCATCTCGCAACCAGGATTCTCTGCTTTTCTGCCTCCAAAAAACTTCTTCTTCCCTATAAGCTTTCACCAAATCTCTTTTCAAACCCATGACTACATAGCCGTTCGGATAATGGACAGATTGTTCCTTTTCTAAAGCCACTTCAATCTGAGAAATCTTATCCCTGGAATTCAAATCATTCTCTTTTTTCCACCGACTTAGAGATTTACGACAAGCTCTTAATCTTTCAGACACAGAAAATTCAACCATACCACTTCTCTTGTTCCAAGCTGCAACCACTGCTTCTTTTACTTTCTTCTTTCCCATCAATCTTTTGTCAAATCTAAACTGACCTCTATAGTTCTCTTGGGATGCCATAAGATTCAGCAAAACGGGTCTATGATCAGATCCTCTTTTTTCCAAAAAAGATTGATTTGAGGCTGGAAATTGTTTGAACCACTCCTTGTTTCCAAACACCCTATCCAACTTGCATTGAATCCACAAATCGTATCTTCTCCCTGCCCAAGTAAAACTATTTCCATGACTGTTCAATTCTCTCATATCACAAGCATGTAACATTTCAGAGAAAGGCTTGAAATAAGAGTCACATCTTCTAGGGCCACCCAATTTTTCACCATTGTGCAAAATGTCATTGAAATCACCAAGCATGCACCAACTGTCTCTTCTACCAACACCAAAACGAGAAATTCTTTCCCAAACATTATGTCTTTTTTTAACGCAAGGATCTCCATATATACAAGAAACAAAAAAAGAAGCTGCTCCAAACTGTACTTGCATATCCAACAAGTTCTTATCCATAAACTTTACATCTATCTGCACACTACTTTTAGAAAACAAAGCCAAACCTCCACAGGTTCCGATAGGTTCCACTGTATACACTCTATCATACCCGAGCCATTCCTGCAAATCTACTAAAACATCTCTACTGTGCATAGTTTCCATCAAAAACAACATCTCAGGGAAGTACTTTTTACGCAACTCCTTGAGACGAGGAATCGCCAAGTCTTGAGACCGTCCCAATCCTTGACAATTCCAGCTGATGATGCTCATTAAGCGGTGGGCGATCCCTCATTTGGGATCACCTTTAGTTGACTGATTCTAGCACACTTGTTTGTAAGACTCCTTTCTTGATCTGATTTTCTCTTGTTAGGACCACCAACACTAGCTCCTTCTTTCAGCACTGGATTAGACTTGGTCAGATCGGGGTCCCTTGCCTTAAGCATTCTGATTCTCTTCGGAGGACGTTTTCTTGGTTTTCCTTTTTTTGGTTTAATCCCGGAAGGACCAGCCTCAGAGAAGCCAATCTTGAAATCCGTCGGATTAAAGATAAAAGGTCCTGAAGGCAACTCTGAAGACATAGAACCTTCTAAATCATTACTGAGCTCCGAAGATAACCCTTGAGCTGGACACGATGTGGTCTTGTAAGCCTCATCCATTAGCCTATTCCTTTTAAAATCAGCCTTAGACCAATTTGTTGAGTCTGAGCTTTCATAGTCAAAAACACGACCTCTCTCTTTATTGACATCCTTAGACAAGATAGGAGCTGGCTCAAGGCTTAACACAGCCTTCCTAGCAATTGGATCCTTTTCAGCGATTCCAACAGTCTTCTTCACCTTGTCAATTCTTAAATTTCTTTCATTAACATCAGCCACCATTAGATATTGCCTCATACCTTCCAAAACTGTTTTTGCAATCTTAATTCTTCCCGTCAATGGATTAATACCAACTTGTTCTTCACTTAAGACTCCAAATAAAGGATCAGACGGTTTGATGATCAGAGGTTTTACCAAAGCTTCTTTCAACAGACCAGGATGCCGAATTCCTTCAAGAACTTGACGTTTTTTCAACAGAAACGGACAAACTTCTTTTTCATGGGTCAGACGATGACAACCATAGCACCGCTTCTGAACCCGTTCGTAATCAAACTCCACCACTGTTGAACCTCCATGAGGAAGATTGAGCACTTTACCTCGTTTCAACGGTCTTGAGATATCAAGTAGAATCTTGACACGAACATACGGTTGCAACTGAGGGAGATCAGGGTCGAAAGCAACCTCCGTCACTTGACCCACCATATCTCCTAAGTCTGAAATAGTCCTAACCGTTCTATGATTCACAGGAAGTTTCCAGATTTGCATCCAAAGAGGATAAACTGAAGATGATCCTCTGCCGGATGTTCCACCCAACGCTCAATAGCAAGAGCCCATTCGTTGTATGTATGAACTCCTCTTCCGAGAATCTCAATCAAATCTCTCTCAGAATCAAATATGAACTGGAATTTTTCGCTTGACAAAGCAACTCCTCTCACTTTTCCATACATCTGCCATTTACGAGGCATATCCAGAAGAAGATTCCTCATCCTCTGACGATCAGGATTTAGAGTTCTCCCAATCAGACTCAAAACATTTCTCTCACACGAAGAATATTCTGGACGATCAGGAATATCAAAGGGAAGATCTTCTTCTTCATCAAGAGACATAGCCAACATAGCTTTATCCATAGCCGAAGACATCTTGAAAAACCAGTCAGAGACACACAGTAAGCAGCTCACGAAAGTATCCAGGAGATACGAACAGTAGGAAACTCTCAGATCTACTTTTAGAAACCCAAAAAGGTAAGATAAAGAGGATAGAATACGATTAAAAAGGACTGTTTTTGGATAAAGTAATCAGATAAAAGGCAATGAAACCTTCTAACACAAACAGAAGTGTCTAAGCCCAAAAAAGGGAAGCCTTTTGAAATGAGTCTAGTACCAATTCCAAGCGATTTCATTGAACTGGTATGACATCTATGAATTACCAAAATCTAACATTTATAATCCATATCTAATTCTGACTATTTTAAGGTCCGGAATGTAATTAAAATATTTAGATAGGGACATTCAGTTGCAAAGTTACAAGTCAATGTTATAGAAAAATATGAATTTTTTCTTTTTGAGGGACACATTATAGACAAATATGATTAAATTGTCATTTTCCTTTGTTGATCTAATAAATCTTGTTTTTTTGCCAACCCTTAACACAATAAATATTTCAATAACAAATGATTCTATGTAATAACATATATTTTTTACTCGCACTTCTTTTAAAATCTTTTTAACTTTTTGTCTCTTTGTCCTGTCCAAAAAAAAAATATATATATATATACGGACAGTGGGCTATTTGGTCCTTCGGTCGGACCGGGTTAAACCGTCTCCTTCGTTTCCTTTTATTTTCTCCTATAAGCTTGCTTTTCTTTAGGGGAGATCTCGCTTTAGGGTTCCGATCATGAACGATTCTGTTTTTATGGAGGAGATGTGTTCTCGCCCGGTGAAGACGCCGAAGTTAGACAAAAAGGCCATCGTTGAACCAAAACCATCTTCCACATACGCGAGGCTAAAGGGTTGGGAGCCAGAGAAGGATGAGTATATACGACAGTATCTCTTGTTTCACTGTCAATTCTATGAAACCAAGGTAAGATCTTGTCTCCGTTTTCATAGAGTTAGGGCTGTGAGTGTGTTGTTGTTAAATTGCCAAAAAAAATACGAATCTAGCTATTCATTACCCTGAATCAATCGATAACAGCGTCTTGCGATTTCAGTTTCTTTAACAACATGTCTGCTGGAATTTCTTGGTGGTTTAGGGTTTCGGGATTGAGTGGGAGAAATTTGATTATTTTTTCGATCTTTGCGACCCTTACGATGGAGCACCGTCATTACCGTCAAGAACTAACAAGACCAACGAGGAAGTGATTAAGGAGCTGACGCAGCTTGCCATTTCCAATCACAACCAAGAGAATGTTAGTGAATGCTCAAAATTTACAACCGATTGTGTTTGATTTTGAGTACTAATATTCACTTGATTGATGACTGTTCAGGGAACAAACATTGTGTTGGTTGAGCACGTCTCGGCGAATTTCCGGTTTACTGCCTATATGGCACACTGGATCACATTCCTGGCTCTAGACATGTCTTGCCCTCGTCCTGTGCCGAAACTCTACCAAGCTAAAGTATTAAGGTTTTGTGGTGTTTATCAGTTTCCCATCTTCAGGGTCCAACCCACACACGAAGGTGACTTCATCCCTAGTTTCTTTTCGGACCTCACTAAATATCTGTTATCTAGTGGCTCAAATAAATGATGAACTTGGCTATAATAGAGTGTGATCTCTCAACTCTTTCTATGTTGCTTAGGTTATGGTTTTATTGGAAAATGCAATTAGTTCTTATAGAGAGAATTTGTGGTTTATATTGGGTATGATGCTAAGTTGCATGTTGTGCTTTATTTATGTGATGCCAGAGATGATGGCGGCTCCTGTTCACGTTAAAACTCCATTTCCCATGCATTATGACCTAGGTGAGATTCTAACTCTTTGTTTGCTCTGTCGTTATATATTTGTTACATTATTTGATTCATGTTATGCTTATCTAACCTGATGACTTTTCCTTGTTGCTTGGTCATGCATGCAGACAAACCTCCCGTTGTCTTCCGTCGAGCTCGTCGCGGAGAAGATCCCGTGCCAGGAACTCCCTTTGTTTTCACTCGAGATGGCGGCGGGGAATATGACTCTGACATAGAGTCTGATGATGATGAATGGATCTACGAGTAAAATGGGATGAAATGACTGAAGAGTTGAGTTGCTGTTCTTGCCTTTGATGAATTATTTTTGTCAAAAAGAGTTTAAGTTGTTAATTATGTAGAGGTAAATTATTGGTTCTCAAAAACTCAAATTTTAACTGACAAATGGCGGTTGTTGACCTTACTTGCTTGCTTTGTAGTTTTCAATACTCGTTTGATTTTGTCATTATCGTTGTGATGAGCAGCAAAGTTGTTTAAGTTGCAACAAAATTATATTTTGATTAGTGTTAACAAAAATTTCACAACAAACAAAGCACAACTGTTATTCGAATTAGTCTCACAAACAAAAAGAGTTAATTAAGATATATGACTTGTTTGACACGTAAAACCTGACTGATCACAAAGCAAATAACGGGCTTTGTTCGGCCCATGAGACCAGTGTCGTGTGTTTTAAGGTGATTTTAGTTTATATTTGGCGGGTGCGTGTGTTTTTCATTCATGTTGAAGACTTTTAAAGTTGCGTTAGGGTTCCAATCATGACGGACTCTAGTGTTTTGTCGGAGCTAAACACTCGCCATCGTAAGATTCCGAATATTCAGAAAGCTTGCGAGAGCTCCAAATCCTCCAACGAAAAGCGAGTGCTCAAGAGAGGAGAGCTGGAAGATGATGAATATATACGACAGTACTCACTGTTTCATTACCAGTTCGAGAAAACCGAGGTAAAATCAATCCATGTTTTGATTTCATTCGGTATCTGATATGAAATTTCCGATTCTGTTTGCTTGATCATTTATCTGTTTAGAAAAAATAAGTTATTCTTTGAATAGATCAGTCTCTAGCATTCTTCTGTTTTTTAAAAGGTTAGGGTTGATTCAAAAACTCTGATATGAAATATCGGAATCTGTTTGTCTCTTCAGAAGTTTTTTCAATTCCTTTCCACAATGTTTTATCGGTCTTATGACTCTAAATTCCAAAATTCTAACATTTTCGGAAAAGGTTTCAGGTGTGACAAAAAGGAGTGTAAAAGTGTGTGGGAACCAATTTTATTCCAAATCCGAGAGGCCACAAAAGGGAAACTGGAATCTTTAAGCGACAATTCACAAGGGGTGAATATTAATCCCGAATCTGTAAATCTATTTTTATTTGAGATGACGAACCAATTAGAGTAAAGAAAATGAGACCAACCAAGTTAATCTTATATATAATAGGAGAGTTGCTCTCTCCTTCTATGTTATCCACATCAGCAAAAAATTCATTAATTGTATTTAAGATATTTAATATATCTGTATTAATATTTCTTTATATATATTCCTATTTTACACATAAACAAAACTAAGAAAAATACACAAACAATTTAATTGATTAATATAAAGTATGTGATATCTTGATGTTAAAAGTTAAAAGAAAGTTGTAATATAAAATGGAGATGAAATAAAGAAATATTTAACTTGAAATAGTATATAGTTAGGTTTTAACTCAAAGGATTTATCCTATTTAAAAATGTTATAATGTGCTTACAAGTAAAAAAGGTACGTATAAATTATTTAACATAGTAAAAAGCTAATAAAAAATTAGAGTTAGAGTTTGTTTTATTAAAAAATAGAAGTCGAGTTATTATTTAAATTTCATTGCAACGAAAAGCATGAAAATTTTAAGAATGGTGACATATTTGTTTCAAAAATACAATTTATATTTACAAAACTAACATAATAGAAAATAATCAATTGTCATATGCTACCACAACAAAGCATATATGTAAGAAGTTATACATGTTTTTTTTTTCATCATATTTTGAGTGCAATTGCGATTCTACACCATGTTTACAAATTTTAACGTTGAGTCAAATGCATATTAAATTTTAGAAATAGAAAACTCGAGATGAAGTAAGGTGTTAATATCTTAATAAAAAAAATTGATCATATTGTTAGTGTTAATTGTTGGGTTAACTCAAAATATAACCAAAACATGGAAGTTAACATATAACCATCATAATTCAAAATTTCAAATCAATGAATATAAATTAAATCAAACAGAAAATTATCGCAAACAACCTCACGCTTGCGCGGGGCTTTAATCCCTAGTTACTATAACCATGTTGTCTTTTAAAGTTCAAATATAAATAAAACCAAACATAAATAAAACATAACAAATAAACTAGAACTAGTAGAGTACCCGCACGTTTGTGCGGTGTGACGTTGTTGTTTTGTGTAGAAAATTTAAACCCTAAATCCGAACCCGACAAAAAACCCTAATCAAAAAATTTAAAAACCCAAACTTTTTTAATAGGTCTAAACATGAAAATCCGAAATCAAAAAAATCCCGAAAACCCTGACTGAACAAAAAAAATCTGGAAACTTTTTCACCCGGAACCCGACCCCAATACCTAATCAAAATTTTAAAATACTCAATTTTTTTAATATATCTAAACCCGAAAACCAGAAATCTAAAAAATCCGGAAAACCCTAAACTGAAAAAAAAAATTGAACCTAACCCGAACAGAAATTTTCAAAGAAACCCGAACAATTTCTATATCTCTATATATATCTCTATAAAATTATGTCTCAGATTTTCACCCAAACCCGAACTTGTCTATAAAAACCCGAAAATCCAAAAAGCATATTCTATTGATTTGGAATTATCGTTAGATTATGTTAAGTTTTTTTTTTGCAGATTTTTAAGAGATGGAAAACGGAAGTTTTCTAAACCATCGGTTTATTTTAAGTTATTATTCTTGTATCCAAACAATTTTTTCCATTTATTCTTCTATCCAAATAGATTTTTCTCTTATTCTTATATCCAAACAACTTTTGTTTCCATTTATTCTTCTATCCAAATAGATGTTTCTCTAATTCTTGTATCCAAACATTAGAATGTACTTCTCAATTAATAATATAAAGATAATAATAACTCAGATAATAATACTAAATTATCTTTTAAACATTAATATAAAAAACTATATTTTTCTTCGAAAACCACCTTCTTAATAGAGGATTTCAGTAAATACTGAACACAAATCCGAATCCTCTGTCAAAGCGCCAGTGTTCACCCTAGGAGTTTTGAATGATCCAGTAAGAAATTCCATTTTCCTCTCTACAATTAGCACAACGTTGAATCCTCGAGTGTGGTTACGTAGGTTAGTCAAAGTGTTGTAGATTCTCTGAGAACTAAAATATGTACAATGTACGTGCACATCAGGACATGCTTTATATTTAAATATATACATTAAATTACATGCACATTAAAATATGAAGATCTATAAGAAAATTGTAAGTTGCACTTAATTACAGAATGGGAATCTCTTCCATAAGTCTCTAATTGTTGCGTTAGTGGCAATACAACAACCACGGGCTGTCTCCGGACATGAGTTTGAAGTTCAACATCATTGACCTCCATAATCGACATGTCAATGTGGTATAAGTGAACCTACACATTGAATTCAACATATTAGTGTTTGGACTGAACACATAAAAAATATGAAAACTGAGAAAATCATTACTTTTCTACCTGTTTCCCTTGACAACAGTTTGACTTATGCACCTGGTTTTTGCGTAGTTGTCCACATTGACTTGTTGAGCAAACTCCATTTTTCTGAATGTAGGCAAATGCTTTTTTGGTGTTGCCGATTCCATCCTTAATATTGAAGTTGATGTTGTTCACCAGATGTTGGACTGATAGCGAACAATGGCTGCGTATGTTACCTACAACAATGTTGTAAAGAGCTTCCACCGCTCTCAGCACAACACAAGCCCAACAAGTAGTTGTTGGTTAATGATTAAGAAATTTAAAAATTCAATTAATTTAATTATCCAGATGCAATTAATATTTAATTTCACAACATAATTTTAAGTTGTATAAGTTATAGGAACGTGCCTAATCATTTAAATAAGAAACAATGGCATACGGCACTTGATTTCATATAATTATTAGAGGACATGTTTACAGATACTTTTAATATTTTTTATGGCATTACAATTACTAGGTTTGAAGCCCCGCACAAGCGCAGAGTTGTTTGCGATAGTTTTCTCAGATTTGGTTATGATGGTTTTGTATTAACTTTCATGTTTTTGGTATATTTTGAGTTAACCCAACTACTAACATTAAAAATACGAACAATTGTCTTTTATTTTATTAGAATGTTAACACCCCACTTTATCTCGAGTTTCCTATTTCCAAAATTTTATAAATATTATGTTTGTTTACTTTTGTTAGACTATAAACATGCATATGCATTTGACTCAACGTTAAAATTTGTAAGCATAATGAAAAATCGCATTTGCACCCGAAATAAGATAGAAAAAAAATAAGATATATATATTTTTACATATCTCCTTTGTTGTGGTAGCATATGAACCTCATGATCATTGATTATTTCTAATATGTTAGTTTTGTAAATATTAATTATATTTTGAAACAAACATATCACAATCTTTAAAATTTTCATGTTTTTCACTTCAATTAAATTTATATATAAAAACTCGACTCCTGTTTTAAAAATCTAACTCTAATTTCTCATTGGCTTGTTATTATCTTAATTAATATATATACAATTTTTTAACTTGTAAACACATTATAACATTTTGAAATATAAAAAGGTAAATATATTTCATTTCAAGTTAAATATATTTTTACTGATATTCAATTTTTTGATAACTTTTAACATCAAATTATCACATACTTTATATTAATTAAGTAACTTAATTGTGTATTTTTCTTAGTTTTATTTATATTTAAAATATAAATATATGCAAAGAAATATGAATAGTCATATATTAAATTTTCTTAAAAACAATTTAATGAACTTTTTTGCTGATGTGCACACTCTTAGAGAAGAGAGTAACTCCCTAATTATATATAAGATTCCCCTTGCAAGTATCGACCAAAAATCCAAAGTTGTACGTTTTTTCTCTCTAAAATGATTAATCCTTAATTATTCCATTGTAGTAACCACAATCATCACACACAAGTTTATAGCTTTCATCACATTAAATTTTATTTTCACTAATGTCTTGTTATTAGTCAATCTTTATTCCA